TCAAGCTAAAAACTAAACACCATGCAGGAGAAATGAGCATGTCTAGCAGCCACACCTCGGTTTCTAAGACTATTCTCCAATAAAGTGAACCAAGGCTCCTTGGAGAAACAACTGTAAGGCTGACACAAAGAATATACAAGATGAGGCTGGGTACAGCGGCTCACAGTTGTAATCCCAGCACTTTGGGAAGCCAAGATGGATGAACTGCTTGAGCCCAGGAGTTTGAGACCAGCATAGGCAACATGGCAAAACCCTCTCTCTACAAAAAATACAAAAATTAGACAGGTGTAGCATGTGCCTGTAGTCTCAGCTACCCAGGAGGCTGAGGTGAAAGGACTGCTTGAGCCTGGGAGGCTGAGGCTGCAGTGAGCTGAGACTGCACCACTGCACTTCAGCCTAGGCACCAAAGCTAGACCCTATCTCAAACATACACCGCCCCCACGCCCACGCACAAGATGAGTCTGGAGTATCTTGTAGTACTGGCAAGAAAATGATCAAGTAAAAATGAGCAGAACTCTCCCCTGCCCCTAATGACGGGGGTATTCCAAAGAGATCTAGGAGTCAACTGAATGAGCTCCCAATAGCCAAAGCTGAAATAATTTGAGCAAAATAAATAAATAAAGTAGTATTGGATTATAATCCAAAGTGTAAAATAAATATTCATGATCCCACTGTCCAATAAGTGATTTAAAAAAATAAATAAATAGGGGAGAAGACACAGATCATCCATGCAAAAGAATTCCAAATCCAAATAATTTATGCAGATAGTCCTCAAGGACAGGGGAATAAAATTCTGTAGTCTTTTAAGTATAGTTTGTAACAATGATTTTCCTTCCAAAGAGTAAAGTACAAAAAAGAAGGAAAAGCAGTCACTTCACTGTGGAGAAACCTGACAAACACTAGCTCATGCCAGATAATCAAGGTTAACATCAACAGTGGTAAGTCACATTCATGGTATTTACCCTTAGCATGACATAACGAAAGATGGCTCTTTACCTTTGTGGTTCTCCTCCCCAAAATACATTCCCCTAGTCTGATGAGAAAAAAACATGACGCAAATCCTAATGGAACGACGTTCTATAAAATACCTCTCCAATACACAATACTTTTGAGGTCATCAAAACCAAGGGAATTTTAAGAAACCATCACACTCAAGAGGAGCCTAGGGAGACATGACAATACTAAATATAATGTGATATCCTGAAAAGAATCCTGGAAAACAAGGAGACCAGGAAAAAACGAAGGAAATCTGAATAAAATGTAGTTTAACAATAATATTAATATTGGATCATTAATTGTAACAAATATACGACACTAATGTAAAATGTTAACAATAGTGTAGACTGGATGTGAGGTAAATGGGAACTTTCCCTACCATCTCCACAATAATTCTAAAGTATAAAACTGTTCTAAAGTAGAAAATGTATTTCAAAAATCAAAGGGCATTTCATCTTTGGCAATAGTGAAGCTTAAAAATGAAAAAGAGCTGGTTAAAAAAATTAATTCCCTGTGTCTTTTTAGCTAGATATTTTAGAAAACAGTCGAGGAAAACAGGAAAAAAAAAAAAATCAATCCAGGTCTTACCTATTCTTTTTAGTTTGGCTTCAGCTGATGGCATATTTTCTAAGCAACTGGGACAATAATGGGAATCCACCTAGGAAGAAACAAGGAAAAAAAAAAAAAAAGAGGAGAAACTCAGCTTAACTTGTGTATATGTCTTGTCAAACAGTAAATTTTAAAATAGGTTATACTGTAGCAGTCGGCAGACTGTTTTCAGCTTAAGGGTTATTCTTCAGGCACCTGTTTTCGTTGTTTTGCCTTCTGGATTTAAAAAACCCTTCTATTTTTCTGATCTTTCCTATTCCCTCTCATCAGGATTTTATGTGTTAAAAGATGTTTACTTAATAATCTACAGTTTCCAACTGAACTCCATAGAATTCTATGATAATCTAATGAAGAGATTAATAATCTAATTTGTAAAGTTGTGATCAAATATCTTCCCATCTCGGCTAGCTTTATATGACTATAAAAACTTGACTATAATTGTCAAAGAAAATTTTTTAAAAGATTTTTCATTATTGAAGTAATACAAGTTCACTGAAGAAAAGCATAAATTAATATTTACATAGTCAGCTATAGCCAACCACTGAGTTTTTTTTCTTTTTTTTGAGACTGAGTATCTCGTTCTGTCGCCAGGCTGCAGTGCCTGATCTCAGCTCACCGCAACCTCCGAGTCCTGAATTCAAATAATTCTACTGCATCAGCCTCCCGAGTAGTTGGGACTACAGGCGCACACCACCATGGCCAGCTAATTTTTTGTATTTTTAGTAGAGACAGGATAATAAACGGACAAGCCGAATTTGGAAAAGGGGCAAAAGGGAATGACTTGTATTTTGCCTTTTTTGATGAGTCAGTGCAGATATTAGTTAGCAATACTGTATTTTATGTTCCTGGAGATTGAGCAACAACTTTATTAATCTTATCAAATTGGCCTGTTTATAGCAGATGATGAAAAAAGCCAGTTTTTATCATAGTATTTATGTTCCAGTGATTGTCTTCTCATTTGCAGGTGACTAGAGTTCTATAACTTAGTTCAATAATGAGAAATCTTTAAAACATTTCCTTTAACAATTAAAGCATGGTCACCTTTCTATAGTCATATAAAGCTAGGCTAGATAGAAGGATATTTGATCACAACTTTACAAATTGGATTATTTTATTAATCTCTTCATTAGATTATCATAGAATTCTATGGAGTTAACCATGTTGGCCAGGATGGTCTCATCTCTTGACCTCGTGATCCACCAGCCTCGGCCTCTCAAAGTGCTGGGATTACAGGCGTAAGCCACGACGCCTGGCCCAATCAGAGATTTTTAAACAAATTAACCGGACAGTCTCACTGTATTTAATTCAAAAACTGGAGTCCAAAAATTAAATTCATTTTCTTTTTTAAAAGTCGGAATAATTATTTTCTTTAATGTAGGTCTTATTTGACAATTATAGAACTCTAGTCAACTGCAAATGAAAAGACAATCACTGGAACATAAATACTATGATAGAAACTGGCTTTTTTCATCTTCTGCTATAAACAGGCCAATTTGAAAAGATTAATAAAGTTGTTGCTCAAATAATCTCCAGGAACATAAAGTACAGTACTGCTAACTAATATCTGCACTGATTCATCAAACAAGGCAAAATACAAGTCATTCTTTTTTGCCCCCTTTCTAAAGTGTGCTTGTCTGTTCATGTGCAGCTCCAGACCCAGATTCTCCGTCAGAACTTCATGGCCTGCCCCAGCCCTCAGAACCTCATCTTTCCCTAAACTCTAATGCCCTCCACATCACAGGTACACAACAGGCTGTAAAAGATGCTATCACAGACTGGATGTCCTAATTGAAGAGAGTGTTAGAGACAGATCATGGAGACTGAGCACTCTATTCACCATGGGAGAATATAATCCAATAAATTCTGGAGGTGGAGCTGGAATAGGGAATCATCAAGAAGATACACATAAGTGCTAATGGAGATGAGAAGAAAAATGAATGCCATATTTTTAATATATACGATTTTTCTTGTATTAATTGCTTTTCTTGGCTATTCCTATTATGAAAAGTATCTTCAGTAAAATAAATAATAATATATAAAATGGCTTACAGTATGTGGTTTTCATATGCAATTTAACAGTCCTGGGATCTTCAGCAAAAAAACAACAACCCTGAGTCAGGCTGTTTAGATTCAAATCCAGGTCCTCCCTCCCACCCCCAAATTACTGGCAGCGTGATTTACAGCAAACACTCTGTATCTGTTTCTTTACCTGCAAAAAATTTTTTTAAAAAAAGGTATCCACTTTATTGGTTTGGAGAGATTACATAAAGCACATGGTATATAGCAAGTATTGAATAAGCAGCAACTACTATTACCACTAGATTTTTCTTTACTAGATTATGGCTTATTAAACAGCACATTGTATGTCTAACTCGCCTTTTAATCCCTAAAGCTTACTGAATAGATAAGATGTGCCAAGCACTGCATTAGTTTTGGGGTTTTGTTATTTGGTGACTTTTTGCAGGCCGGGGTCTTCTTTTTGAGCAATCCAACTTCGGATGCCCACTTGTGCCAGTGAAGAACAGCACCATTCTCTAGATCCATGAACTACACTTTCAGCTTCTTACATGACATGCTCTAAGTCTGAGCGCTTTTCACATAACTCACTCCGCCCCAGCCACTTCCCGGTTGCAGGCCTTGACCTGAGTCAGATACAGGGCAAGGCAGTTCGATGACGGCCCAGTTTCGGGATAAAAGAGGAGCAGAACTTCCAGGATGGGAGGGCCATGAATGAGAATGCCTGCGCCTCCCTCCACCCTCGAAATCAATCGTGGAAAGGAGCTTTTTAGCCCCTCAAGTGGGCTGACCTTAAGCACTCCCAGACCTTTCTCCGCAGTCCACCCAATTAATAAGCCCCATCGGAGACAGGCACGGTCCCTAAATCAAGTTTGTCCAATCAGAGGCCGCTCTGGAACCAGAAGATCCGCTCAGCTCCACCCGAAGCTGCTCCTCCTTGCCAAGTGACAAATTATAAGCAAATTAAACCTCAGGCAAAGCCGAGTGACGGAAGACATAGCCAATCAGTGAGGAAGGAAAATAGCTCCAGCCCGCCGGTGGCAGTGACTAGGATGAACGCCGCGCCCCCCACCCCCACTCTCCATGGGACGACTCCGTTACCTCGTGAGACACACATTCCAGCGACCGCAGCTCGCTACAATAGCGGCAGAAGTAGAGCTGCGAGAGCGGGGCCCGAACCTTCTTTTCTCCCTGGACTAGATAGAGAACCCGGTCCGACTGCAGCAAGGACGCCATCTTGGGGAGGGAGGAGCTGACGACCCTCCCGCCGCATCACGTGACCCGAAGCCCAGCGTCTTCCTCGCCGCCTTCCCTACGTCTTCCTACGTAGACTTTGACGTTTGACTTCCCACCTCGTCGGGCTCTGAGCCCGTCTAAAACCAGAGCGCGCGTGCGCAGCTGGGATCCCAGTTTTCTCCCCAACCTTAGGCCCGCCCCGCAGCGCTTCCTTGAGCGTCCACCGCCCTTTGTCATTTGGTCTGGACTCGGCAGATTAGATGCATACAGGTTCAGTGAGCGCCTTTTATTCTTTTTTTTACAGAATGAAAAGCTGCTCTTTTGTGTTATTTACGACGGCCTCCCCTGCCCCATTTTCCAGGCGAGCATCCAGGAGACAAATGGAAGTTCTCAAAGGGACAGGGCTCCGTCGGGACTGAAAGGCAGGAGTCACACCAGCAACTGTCTTTTGAGTCTTCCGATGGCCTTTAGGGAACTTTCACGTACATTATTTCATTTGAAACTTTAGGCTGTGAATTCCTCTACACGGATTTCGAGTACATCGTTAGCATTAGGTCTAAGCCTATATTGTGGACCTCCAATAAGTATGAAAGGAGGGAGTGAAATCAATGAACAATGTTGGTAGGCGTCTACATTTTTCTAATGTGTAAACTAAGGCTTAGGTCTGTGTCTTGGCTGAGCAGCTACTATGTGAGACTGGTGTTACGTGGGTGATAAAAGAATTTATTGATAGTTTTAGGTAAAGAAATGCAGATTTATTTGAGAAGGTATGAAAATACGTTGAAAGGTTGCAATGGACAGACCAGCCAGAGAGGAGCTGATTTCAGGGAAACAAAGGCTTGGTGGAGATTTTATAGGATTGTTCTTGGGCTGCAGGGTGCTGTGCAGTACTGATAACTCCAAGGTTGCAGAGAGCTAACTTGCAGGTGTCTCATGATAGCTCGGTGCAGGAAGATTGTGAATTATTTGCACAAGAGGGCTATGTGTCCTGCATCATGAAGAAAGGCAGACTTATAGTGCATCTGCTCTTTTTGCTTTCCCTTGGTCCCACTAGCCTGACTCTCTTCTTCTCATTAGGACTCCGCAGTATGTAAAATGACCATCTAGAACTGCCTAGCAGAAACTGGAGCCTCTGTTGCCTGCCACCTGCTCTATGTTTTTATAATTGTAGTAGTGTTGTATTATTACCTGTCTGACGTTAGAGTTGGTGATTGAGAGGATAAGGAACTGAATACTATTAACAAACATTTATTGAGCACTTAAGTGCAGCACACTGTGTCAAAACTTTACATACATTGTTTCATTTAATTCTTACAACTCCACAAGGCATGTGGCAATATTATTTCTATTTTACAGAGCAGGAAACAGGCTCAGGGAGGTGCAGTGACTCCTCTATCAGATTTCATAGGTAAAGGTAGAATGCTGTTCTGTCTGACTCCAGTGCTTGCAGGCATAACCCATATGTATACTGCGTCCAGCATATTTTCTAATATCGTGACGTTAATAATACCTTACATTTATATAGACCTTTTCAACGTATACAGTGCTAATCTCACAATTTACGTCATGCTTTACCAATAGCACCTAAGTCATTTGTTGTTCACCAAGCAATAGCCTGGCACTAATTTAATTTCATAGGTGGCTTCTGCTCCTAGGAGAAAATATATTACCAGCCAACCGATTAGCAGTTATTTCTTTAGGTTAATGAATTCGTTGGCTTTCTAGTTTATAAACTAGTCTCTGCGGAGTTTAAATTCCCTTTTCTGGACTATGCTGTTAAAATGAAGTCCCAGAGCCTGCAGGTACAGAAAGGCTGCAGACTTGCGCTAACTCCACATAAAACAGACACTTTTTTTTTTGAGACGGAGTTTCGCTCTTGTTACCCAGGCTGGAGTGCAATGGCGCGATCTCAGCTCACCACAACCTCCGCCTCCTGGGTTCAGGCAATTCTCCTGCCTCAGCCTCCTGAGTAGCTGGGATTACAGGCACACGCCACCATGCCCAGTTCATTTTTTGTATTTTTAGTAGAGACGGGGTTTCACCATGTTGACCAGGATGGTCTCGATCCGCCTCAGCCTCCCAAAGTGCTGGGATTTCAGGCGTGAGCCACTGCGCCCAGCCCAAAACAGACACTTTTTAGAGCACTGATTTTGAATAATTCAGTGGCCAATTATCTTGTCCCTGCTGCATACCAGGTACTGGGGAGGGAACTAGCAATGAATGAGATACTTTCCGTCCTCAAAGGCTCAGAGTCTGGGCAGTGTTTCTCAAGTGTGGTCCTGGGTCACCTGCACAATAATTACTTGAGGGATATATAAATGTAGATTCAAGGCTCTGCCCAAGACCCAAATTGGAATGTCTGGGGTGGGGTCCAAGAATCTAAATTTCAAACAAGCTCCCAGGTGAATCTTATGCATACTAAATTGGAAAAGTACTGCTTTTTGATAATCACTTGTTTAATTTTCTGTCTTTGACCTTGGAACTGGGCATGGTGGGCCTTATCTCTGATCCCTTTTGACCATTGATAACACTGCCTGGCAGGATATCAGATATTTTGTGCCCAGGGTGCCATAGAATATGGAGTCGCTTGTGGCAGAAAACGGAAACATTCTCTTGCCATGTCTCTCTCTCTACGTTCAAGGGAACTGGATTCTATTCTTTATAACTCCAGTTCCACAAAACCCTATCTGCCAGACTCTGAAATCAGACTTGACTTTGGCGATCTGTGTTCCAGTGCCAACTCCAGTTCCCAGGCCCAGGCTCTCCCCTAATCTTTTTATTAATGACTATATAATTAATGCATGAATATATTATTTGTCTTCCTCTGACAAACATGGTCGTGTGGAAGAGTTAACAGTCTATGGAGTAACTTTTCACCAGTCTAGGGTGTGAGCCTGTAAATAAATGTTCCCTCTTCCTTCTCTCAGGCCCATTCTCCATGGTTCCTTAAAGGGTTCTGGCAGGATTGAGTCCTAGTTAGGCACAATGGTGATCAGCTTGATAATGTAGCCTTGTGTTGCTTTCACTCTTCCTAGCCCTGAACTCACTCTCATTCACTTCTCAATGCTGGCTTCCTGCCGGCAAGCTCTCATTTCGAGTTCTGCTTTCTAGGGGGAGCCCAGGCTAATACAGAGACCCTAAAGTTAAACTGGCAAATCAAAGGGTAACCATATTTAATAAACACTGGCAATGAGCCCTTGTGAAATGCCAGACCAATTTACAGTCTCACCATAAGTGTATGAGATATCCATTTCCCACTGTTTTGCCTACTTGGAATATTATCAAATTTGAGTGGATAGTTTTGGCACTTTCCAGCTATGTGAGCTTGTAAAAGCCACTTACACCTCTGAGTCTTGTTTCAAGACACATAGAATGAGAAGAATAATCCCTGGCTTGGTGAAAATAAAAAATCATCCAGGCTGTGAAAGCACTTTGTGAGCTATGAAGTACTAAGCACATGGAAGCAATGGTTCCTAAATATCCCAAGGATGAAAAACCCAAACCGGTTTTCATTTTTATAAAGAGTCCTTCAGAGTAAATCCATGAAAATAATGGAAAAAGCTGGGAGTTAGTCAGACTTTGGTCAAATGAGGTCTTGTGAAGGGAACTGAATCTGGGCTTTGACCTCAAAGACTCAGGGTTTTCTACAGCTTTGGAATCCTGGAGAACTGCTGTCACCAATGCTGGCCACCTGCCCTGGCTACGTTCCTCACTTGTGCTTTGCTGCTTGAAAACTATATTAATAACAGGTTTTGCTGTGTTGAATCTATCTGCAGGCTAATCTAAAAGTCATAGTAAGTGAACAGAGGGGGAAGAAAAAGAAGCCCTTGTTTCATCAACATCCATACTAGTCCCTGTGGGGGCTCTGCCCAAGGAATGTGGTGGTGGCAGGGCTAAAGCTCATTTCCCAAGCGTAAACATGGCAAAAGGCTGCTGGCCTGTTTTCATTCTGGGAAATATTTTGAATAGTTTTTGTTTTTGAATGGAAATGAATTTTGAACTTTTTTTTTTTTCTTGAGACAAGGTCTTGCTCTGTTGCCCAGGCTGGAGTGCAGTGGCTATTAGAGTTTACTGCAACCTGAACTTCCTGGGCTCAAATGATCCTCCACCTCAGCCTCCTAAGTAGCTAGGACTACAGACACATGCCACCATGCTTAGCTTATTTTTAATATTTTTGTAGAGGTGGGGTTCTTGCTATATTGCCCAGGCTGGTCTCCAATTCCTGGGCTCAAGCAATTCTCCCCAAATTTGGCATCCCAAAGTGTTGGGATTACAGGTGTGAGCCATTGTGCCTAACCATGTTCGATCTATGATTTTTTTTTTTTTTAACAGAGATTATTTTTTTCCCATATACCTGGCTCCTGCAGTAGCTCTACCCTTACCCACACCAAACTGCCTCAGCCAAACACCTGGGAACTTCCTTGGTGGCTTCTTCCTTTGATTTTACCACCTGAATAGCTCTAACACATACCTCTCTATTCCACTCGTCTCTTTTTCTTCTGCATGTTTATCCTCACTCACCTCTGGGCATGCACAGTGAACAAGGGGCTATAACTCTCAGTGAAATGAGGGTGAAATCATGAAACAGTAAAGCCAGAAGTGACCTTAGAGATTAACTAATCCACTCCCCTTATTTTAAGACAGAAGGAGATGAAGCTAGGGTTTGAACTGAGGGCTTGGTTCCAAGTTTCCTGCTTTTACATTTGGCTGGCAAAGAAAAAATTATTCAAAGATACTTGTTAAAGCACAGGAAGAAAGACTTTATTCAGGACCATTGTGATAAGTATAGGGACTACTACAGTGGGGTCTTGCAGTAGAGGAGAGAGATTGGGCTCGACTCCCAATATAGCATGGGCCAGTGGGAATGTATAGCCAAGGAGCAGGGTGGGGTCACTGGAAGGAAAATTGCTAAGAGCAAACATCAGGAGTAAGGGGGATTCTGGCTAAACTCGCCTAACGGGATTCTTGCTGAGGACAGGCCAGGGTAATCAGATAGCACCTGGGGGATGGTAGAGGTTGAGGAACCCAGTCATGCGGGGTTCTCAGTAAAGTGACTTAGAGTTCTTTGCCAAAACCATTTTTTTTATGAGGAAGTGCACAGATAGGGCTACAGAAGATTCAGAAGCCTGACTAAAATTTGGCCAAGCAAAGAATGTTCTCACCTTCCCTCTTGCACAATTCACCACCCAACCCCAAGACTTGCTTCTTGGAGAGCACCAGTGTATTGCTCACTGAATTGAGCAGAATGGAATTGAAGACGGACTTCCTGCCCTAACTCAGTGCCTGGCACAGAGCAAGCCCTCGGTAAGTGTTTGTTGAGTGGGTGAATACTATTTTAAATTGTCTGGAACTTGCTGCCATATGGAAGCTGGCAACTAAAACAGTTTTTTTTCTTTTTCACCTTTAAGCAATTCCTTCTTTTAGAAGGCAGAACGGGAAATGGGGGGGAGAGAGGAAGGTTGCAATTTTAGATTGTGTGGTCAGGGTAACCCTCTTGAAAAGGTAAGGTTTGAGCAAAGATTTGAAGGAGGTAGCTAGAGCAAGAGCCCTGTGGATATCTGGGGAAGGAGCCTTTCAGAAGGAGCTAAACAGGGTCCCTAAGGAGTAAGTGAGGAGCTGCAAGGAGTCCTGTGTAACTGTTAGGGAGTGAGCATTGGGGAGAGGTTTAGGGGATGAGGTCCCAGAGGTAATGGGAGCTGGAGGTGCACTCATGTAGGATCTCAAAGGGCATTTAAAGGATGTTGAGTTTTTCTCTGAAGGGAATGTGGAACCATTGCAGGATTTCAAGCAGAGCAGTGATGTGATCTAAAGTACATTTTACAAGGGTCACTCCTGACATCATTTTAGAAATGGACTATAGAGAGACAAGGATAGAATCAGGGCACAGTTAGCAAATTGCAGTAGCGATCCAAGCAAAAGAAGATCATACCATGGACCAGGGATTCTGGCTGTATTTTGAAGATAGAGCCTATGGGATTTCCTGATGCCTGTAGACTGCCATATGGGAGGGGACAGCTTGAAGTTAGGCAATAGGGAGGCCCTGGTTGGGCCAGTGGACAGTTCCTTTCTCAGTTTGACCAAATTCAGCCACTGAATGTTTATTTCCTCAGAAATTACCAAGACTATTTCTTCTCTCTGAGGTCAAAATAAAGACATCCAGGAAAGGACTAGACACTTATATTTAAGAGAAGGAAATGAAGCTAACTTGTTCAGTCTCTTGTTTATTTTGTTCCAACTCACAAAGCATGGTCATGACCGCAGAGGAAGGCATATTTCACAAGAGGCCAGAGAAGGAGCCAGTCAGTCAGTTGCTAAACACATTAATCAGATCTCAGTGCTCCAGCTCAGGCTGAGGCGATGCGGATGTGGGAAAGCCTAGCCTGTTGAGAATGGGGCCAAGGGCTCTCTCCACAGGAGCTTTTCCCTGTGCTATGAAGGTAATATGTGTTAATACAAGTAAAGTGGATAGAGGGCAGCACACTGTCAGTGCTATCAGCGCTATGGAAGTATTGGTTATTAGGCCGTGGAGCATGGTCCAATCCTTTCATTAACAAGTGAGAAAACAGGTTCAGAGAGAGGAATTCATTTGTCTAAAGTTACGCTGGTTCTCCAGCTTTACTTACGAGCAGCACTAAGTTGGCTTCTTAAAAAATTGTTGAACAGCCTGGCCAACATGGTGAAACCTGTCTCTGCTAAAAATACCATAATTAGTGAAGTGTGGTGGCGGGCGCCTGTAATCCCACCTACTCGGGAGGCTGAGACAGGAGAATTGCTTGAATCCTGGAGGCGGAAGTTGCAGGGAGCCATCTGAGATTGAAGTGCCACTGCACTCCAGCCTGGACAACAAAGAGTGAAACTCCGTCTCAAAAAAAAAACTGTTTGGACAGTTGAGATTTCCTTTGTTGCCCCTCTTACCATTTATTCCTGGGAAGTTCTTTTAGACTTTCAGCTGTCATCTGAGAGTTTAATGGGATGTTTTATTACTCTTGAGCGCTGGTGGAAGTGAGCCTCTAAGCTAGCCATCAGTGGCCACCGCCTTCTGGTGTTCTTACCCTGGTGTACCAGGGTTGATCTGTGTGACCAACAGCATACGACAGAAGTGATGGGATGACACTTCTGAGACTAGATTATAAAAAACTGTGGCTTCTGTGTTGGGCCCTCTCTTGCTGGAGCTCTCTCTCTCCCCTCTCTCTCTGTCACAACACCCCCTTTGTGTTTGAAGCAAGCTGCCATTTTGTGAGCAATCCCACAGCAAGTCCCGTGCAGCAGGAAACTGAAGCCTCTGGCCCACCGCTGGTGAGGACCAAGGCCTGCCAGTAACCAGCAAGTGAGCTCAGAGGTGGATTCTCCAGCTCCACTTGAGTATGGAGATGGTTACAGACCCAGATGACAGCCTGACTGCAAACTTGTGAGAGACCCTGAGCTAGAACCAGCCAGGTAAGCAACTCCTGGACTCCGACCCTCAGAAACTGTGAGATAATAAATGTTTAGGCTCCTAAGTTTGGGGATACTTTGTTCTTTCCTTACCACCACTGTAACAGTTAACCTCTGCCACACCGTATACTTCTCTTTCCATCTCTGCCACGTCCACTATCCTATTCACGGCTTCATGCGCTCCCTGCATGTTCCCATAATGAACTGTCTTCTCTGAGGTCAAACCCAGAAGTCATCAAACCAGCTGAATCAGTCACAGTACCAACAGGAAACAGATGGTGGGCTGAAATAGATAGTTTGAAGAAAGTTTAATATAGGAACTATTTGCGGAATTGTGGGTGGCGAGGAGAGCAATGAAAAGGAATACTGCAGTCCTTAGGGCTAGTAAAGGTGGGTGCTGTTTATGGCCTAAGACCTGAAGAGGCAAGGGTGAGAGCAGTTACTGGACTCTGGAGACAAATAGAGCTGTATGAAGAGGGTCCCCTGACAGGAATTGGGCCACAGAGCCAGCCTTGCAGCCCCTGGGGTAGGGGTTGGGGGGCAGAATGCAAAACACCTCAGCTCCTGCAGATGCTTCCCTCTTTGATGAGCTCACCAGAAAGCTAGACATCAAGAAAATCTATGTTAGTTTTTCTCAGAAACAGACTGTGGGATAAGGGTTTAAGTGCAAGTCATTTATCTGAGAGGTTCAGAGGTTCAGGGTACACCAGCAGGGAACTGAGGAAGTGATATGAAGAAGTGAAGGCAGCTGTTATGATTGTGTTATTAAGCCAGCTATCAGAGTGGGTGACTGGAGCCTAGTCGCACAGAGAAACTGGAAACAATGTAAACACACCTCTCAGAATTATTCCATTGAAGGGGAAGGGAGTTGGGGTATTTATGCCCCTAATGTCTTTGGTTGAGGGCTGCTCCTGGAGAAAAGGGTTAATTCTTGATTAATTTTGGACTGACAAACCAACCTTCTGTGGTTCTGGGAAAAGCTCTCAGACACAAAGATACAGATACTGGCAATTGGAAGTCTGTGAAACACTGAGGTGGAGAAGGCCCAAGAGATTTTTGCAGGGATTGGCAGTGTTTGGGGTGCATTCAGATGAACTTCCTATTCACAAGGCTGGATGGAGAAGTGTGCAGAGGGTGAATCTGGAAGCAAAAATAAAACTTAAGTGCATGCTTACAGTTAATAAGTAAAATTTACTAATACTCTCTTAAATATAGATGCACTGTATAGGTTTCAAAACGATAATTTTCTCTTTTATTCTCACAATTACTGTCTCTACCCTCTCTCGTAACCATGTAGTTAATTGTCTGATTCTGCTTGTGCACTGTGCAGTGTGCATTGCAATACTCATTGTGCCTGTGTATCTCACTGCGCCTTAGCCAGGTCAGGAATTACTCCATTTCAGTGAGGAGAAAAAGAGTCACAGAGAGGACCTAACTCAGTAAGAGTCATTCAGATGCAAGACATTTAGAATCAGTTATTTTACTTCCTGGTTGGGTAACCTTAGACAAGTTAACAATCCTCTTTGGGCCTCTGTTTTCTGATGTATAAAATAGGGGTTAATAACATTTTAACCCTAGAATAGTAGTATAATGCTTATAAAATCCTTGCTATACAATAAGTGCCCAATAAATGTTTTGTTCAAGTAAATGATGTTTTTTGAAAAATATAATATAGGCAAATGCATATATATATTTGAGACCAAAGTTTACTTCAAAAATTAGGCTGACCAAACAGATATCTGCTGGTAATAGACATTCTATTATCTCTAGCTACATGACTGTGTAATAATTGAACACTTTGGAATTAAGCCATGAGAATTGATTCAAATAATTATAACCACACTAATGAGATCATATGGCTATCACTCCACTTCAAAGCTATAAAATGGAATCCTTCCATTTCCTTTTCTTCCTCCCTGTCTGCTTAGCACCTTGTTCTATCTCAAATTCCACTTTGAGAAATGTCATCATTTACCATCCTTCCTAATCATTAATTCAATGAAGTATTTCAGCCATAATACAAAAGTTATAATTAAAATAAAAATTCCTGCATCTTATTTTCAGTCTAGAAGTTTCTTTTTTTCTTTTTGCAACAGAGTCTTGCTCTATCACCCAGGCTGGAGTGCAGCAGCACAATCTTGGCTCACTACAACCTCCACCTCCCAGGTTCAAGCAATTCTCTGCCTCAGTCTCCCAAGTAGCTGGGATTACAGGCACCCACCACCACACCTGGATAAGCTCTGTATTTTTACTAGAGACAGAGTTTCACCATCTTGGCCAGGCTGAGTCTTGAACTCCTGACCTCGTGATCCACCTGCCTCAGGTTCCCAAAGTGCTGGGATTACAGGCGTGAGCCACCATGTCAGGCTGGTTATTTCTTTTGAGTTAGCAAGTGAGTGGAGCTTCCCCCAAACAGTAAGAAGGCATTTTGGCCAAGGATTTATAGAACAAAAAGAACCTTGGGAATTTTTTTCAGGAAGAAAGGGGAAGGGAGGGCAACTAGTAATTTCAGGAGTCCTGGTGCTTATTGCCTGACTTTTGGGAAGAACTGAGCTGTTTAGGGGCCTGTAAGCAGGGAGCTAATGTCTGAGCCAGGACAGATTCATCAGTGAGACAAAACAGGTCACCCCCACACAGGTATTGCCTTCAATTCAAAACTGTAGTAATCCTAAGATCTTTGAGCCTTCACTTAAAAAAACTTTTGGAGGTACAAGTGACTCCAGAGAACATTTAACTCAACTCTCTTCTTTTCACTTCTGGAGCCTGAAGATTTAGAAAGGGGAAGGAACTTCCTCAAGATCAATGGCAAACTAGTGACAGAGCCAGGACTAGAAGCCATGGTTTAATTCTGTGTAGTACCTTTACCTTGTGCCAGCGACACACTCCCTGCCCCTTCTCCCAGTCTTCCACTGTCTCAATGAAACCCTTCTGCGACGTTTCTCTTCTTCCACACCTCCAGTGTTAGGGAGCCCATGACATCCCAAGAAAGCCTGTTCTGTCCATTTTCAGATAGCTCTTTAAAAACATGCTTTCTCTGGATGAACTAAGATCTGCTTCTCAGCTGACACTCTCGCACTCTAGGTCAGCTTCCTCTGCCCCAGGCATATTTCAGAGGTTTGCTCAGATTCTCCATTGTCTACATGAGTCCTCCCATCTCTAGACTAAACATCCTATTTTCTTACAATTCTATCTTTTTTTGGCTGCAGTGATCTATGATTGTGCCACTGCACTCCAGCCTGGGTGACAGAGCAAGACCTTGCCTCCTAAGGCTGGGCGCGGTGGCTCATGGTTATAATCCTGGCACTTTGGGAGACCGAGGCAGGTGGATCACCTGAGGTTAGGAGTTCGAGACCATTCTGGCCAACATGAGGAAACCCTATTTCTACTAAAAATAAAAAAATTAGCTGGGCATGGTGGCTAACGCCTGTAATCCCAGCTACCCGGGAGGCTAAGGCAGGAGAATCGCTTGAACATGGGTGGTGGAGGTTGCAGTGAGCCGAGACAGTGCCATTGCACTCCAGCCTGAGTGACAGAGCGAGACTCTGTCCTTGCCACCCCCCTGCCCCCAAAAAGACAATGAACTTTGAGCAAAGAAGATTATTCTCCATAATGTGGGTGGACCTCATCCAATCAACTGAAGGTCTTAAGAAAAAGATAGACCTTCCCTAGGAAGAGGGATTCTGCCAGCAAACTGCTTTCAGACTCAAGATGCAACATCAAGTCTTCCCTGGGTTTCTGGCCTGCTGGGCTACGCTGCAGATTTTGGACTTGCTAGCCTTCACAATCATGCAAGCCACTTCCTTAAGAATCAGTCTCTCTTGTTCTCTCTCTACACACACACATGCGCGTGCGCGCACACACACACACGGTTCTGTTTCTCTGAAGAACTCTGTGAGTTAAATAGTTTTTCAAGTTTTCAAGTGCCTTCGGCACTTCAAAACTGGAAAGAGGAGTCTTACTTGACCTCTCATCGTTATTCATTTATTCATTCATTCAACTTATTCTGTACCTAGGTGCTGGTGATAGAAAGAAAAATACTGTAACCAGAAATTTGAACTTAGGGAGGACCGTGATAAAACCAGGCCCCACTCAAAATTGTTAGTGCAGAGTGGCAAAGAGTTTTAGGCTCAGTAGTCAGGCCATACTTTGGCTCTAACAGTTGTCCGCTGGTGGCCTTGGCAAGTCACTCAACCTCCCTGAGCCTCAGTTTCCTCATCCATAAAAGGGAGAATTGGGATTAGATTGTTTTTAATTTTTCCCTTTAATTTTGGACATACAGTGTTTCAATTTGGTGAAAATTCAGTAAGAATTGTACATAGTTTGAAGGTTCTACTTTAGGGCCTAGGAAAATGAAACCCTATATATGAGCATGCCATTCATATATACTGTCTTTTCAAATAAGTAATATTTACCAAGCACATGCCCCTTCACATTCATGATTTCACTTAATTCTATTTCATCCTCATTAAAGCCCCTTAAGGTAGGCATTAGCATTCATATTTTGTAGAAGGGAAAACAGAGTCTCATAGACATTAAATAGTTTATCAAGGTCACAGTTAGTAAGTGCCAGAACCAGGATTCAAATTCAGTTTTCAAAAATTCTGAACTACATGATCTTGCATTACCTCCTGTTTCCTGCGAATTCTTGGCAGTTTGGAAAATGGTATGAGTTGAAGAACTCGGAAATCTGTTTCAGCATTGTGTTATCTTCAAACAGTTTGTCAAAGTCTAGTCTTTAAGCTGGGAGTGGTGGCTCACGCCTGTATTCCCCGCACTTTGGGAGGCCAGAGCAGGTGGTTCGCTTGAGCCCAGGAGTTTGAGACCAGCCTGGGCAACATGACAAAACCCCATCACTACAAAAAAAAAAAGTATAGTCTTCAAAATGTTAAAAATATAATTTATGTGTACAAATTATACACACACACACTTAGAAAGCATGAATCAAAGTTTTATATAGATGTTCAGTGAAGGAACCAGTAGGATGACAAGGAATGCCAAAATAA